GGGCCATCACCTCAGTAAGTGGCAACAGCTGACAAAAAGCATCTTATATTTATATGATTCTTCATAACATGTAATACAGTCCTAATTCATCATCAATTTCAAATGTCCATTATATTCCACAGTTCTGACTAGTTCTTCTCATCTCGCTCCAGTTCCTCTTCTGACATCACTGCTCACTGATGGAGTTCTTTGGTCATTGTGGTTGCTTACCTTCAGTATTGTTCCTAGAGCACCTGTGCATACTGCACTGAACTCTTAGTATGGTTCCTAGAGCACCTGTGCTGTATAAAACAATATCTATGTATTAATATTCCTGCTTGAAATGCTGGGGTTTCAACCCCAAGACCCAAATTAAGGTTGACATATGGGTGATTCCCACAGCCCTTCACAAAGGGGGGGTGAGTTACCTTTAAGCTTCCCTCCAGGGTGTGGCTGGCCTTGCAGGGAGCTCCAGCCATTAGGTAAATGAGCCCCAACTGTCCCACATTAAGTAAAAAAAGGTCAGGTGTCCCACTTGGGGATAAAAGCTGGGACCACTTGCAGGAAGGGGCAGTGTCTGTTTGTGAGGTGGGTGTATTTTGCAGTTTCCTGTTGGTAATGATTTTCTGTCTCACTGGAACTGGGCTCCAGTCAGGTCTGGCTTTTGTAAACACAGGCTGTATAGAGATTCGGTATGTGGCTTCCTTGGTCTTATGTATTTGGCTTGTTGACTTGGTGATCTCCTGTTCCTCTTATGAGAGACTGTATTTCACCATTTATTCCACCTGTTGCTGGTTGTGTGGTGTCATTGTTGGGGTCAGTAGGATTGAAGTCAATTATGTATAATCTGACTTGTTTGTACCCCCAGTGCTCACTCATGTACTGGCCCTTTTGTATCAAATGCAATTTGGTTATTGGTTCATCTTTATGCTGGCTGTGTCATTTATGCTAGCCCTGATAATTGCAAAGCACCCACACTAAGAATAAGAAGACATAGGTGACAACAGATTAGTAAAGCAAGCATCCTTTGATTTTAATGGTGTAGGACTAAACTTAAGCTGTAAACCATACCTAGGGAAGTGTTGCCATGTTTTTTCATTAAAAGTTATCTGGATGGTACCTGTTTCTCTTAGGACATTACTTTATTTTTATCTTATTTTGGCAAGAATGAGGAGTATTTCTGAATACTTTTAAAGAGAGCTTAAGAAACTGGGTTAAGATTTTTTTAGTGCCAGATTTAAATATTACAATAGCTTCAACTTGTCAATCACTTTCACATTCAGGAGCTGCCTCTCTGACATCCTTTCCTGGCAGATCTCAAAACTAGTTCAGAGGTGTCAGAAGGGTGTGATGAAAATTTCACAAGCAAAGGGATGTAGTCTTGTGTGACACACCTAATTGAGATGTTTGTTGCTTTTATTTTTGATTGCCTCACTGATGTTACTGTACACCTAAGAATATTTTTACAGGTAAGAGCAGCAGAAATTTGTCACCTTCATGCCATTACACCCATGCAGCTATCCAGTTCCTGGGAACCTAGTTTGGTTTTAGCTGATGCATTTTATCAATAACATGCTAATATTGCAGATCTCAGGCTATGTGCCCTGTCACATCAGTGCTTGTATCTATCTGCTTCATGAGGTAATTCCATACTTGGAGTGGATGTGGTAACTACCAAGTTGCTGTAATAAAAGGTGACTTACTACCATTCTTTAGGGAACTGGTACATTTGGCTACTTGCTCTGGCTTAAACAATGCATTGTATGGTGCTTTAGACATGAGGGGAGGAAATTATGGCAATTTAAAATCAGGAAGTTTTACCATTAGATAAGTCAAAATTGCTGGACCAGATATAACACTTGAAACATGAAGTAGCTTTACCAGTAGGTTACTTATGAATTATTCCTTGGTGAATGTTCTCTTTGAGGGACTTAAGTGGGGTTTTTTTTTTTGCAATTCTATTCAATTCAAAATAGTTCCTGGACAGACTAATAGTGCAGTGGCATAAATTCCAATTTCTTGGATTTAGTTGTGCTGCATTATTACAGTTTTGAAAGTCCAGCTTGTGAAATGTGATTTTTTTTTTTTTTTTTTTTTTTTTTTTTTTTTACTTCTTATGTTCTTTTCACCTAATCAAGAGTAATACAGAAATCCTGGACTAGACTGCAGACAATTATTTGTAGTTGACAATTATCTGGTAGTTTGTTTTTTGACAAATTAACTCTGTTCACATAGCTGGTAGAATATTAATTTCATGCTTAAAATACCCAATGTGAATTTGAAATCAAATGAAGAAGGGATTTTAAATGCAAGCTCAAAAACCCCACAAATGCAGTGATCACTTGGCTAAAATTAATGGTGTGGCTTAGTCTGACAAGCCAGAATATTAGTAGGATAAAAATCCTGCTTGAAGTACATTTTTGATTTTTCTTGAGTGAGGGGGAAGTACAGGTGGTTGTGGTGTTTCAGTTTCCCCAATATTTTGTAGAGTAAGGAATTCCTTTCACATCTATTTTAATAAAATAGAGCCTTCCAGATAGGAGAGGAACAAGCAGAGCACTCTGATTAAAATCGCTTGTGATGAAACTTTTATTATCATACACCTAAAATTAGTGTGAAGAGTCACAGCTTTGGATTTTGGCCTAAGTACCCCAAACCATTGCATGTCTATGTGAAAAGAAGTGTTTGGTGAGGTCCAGTTTCACTAAATGTTTTATCTAAATATCTGCTTACTCTAAAGTATGTTCTATGCCTGTTTTGGCAGCAACTGATGTCTAACAGAAATCATACTGAAAAACCAAAATCAGATGAGACCAGATGAGAGCAAAACCAACCTCACAGACAGCCTGAGAAACACATTGATGGTAGTCAATCTGCATGCAGTTGCCAGAAAGCCTCTTAATGGTCAACAAAAGGCAATAAAAAGCCTGACTAAATAGATACACCATTCAGTGTGCCTTCAGGAGCTCTAAACTCACTCTGGTATATCTCCTAGGGAAAAAAAATAATCTTTTAGCCAGATGCCCTAACAGGAATAAGTCCTAGATCTCTCTCCAGAAAGCTTCCAGGTGATCACAGAAGCCTAGAGCAGTGTGATTGAGCTGACTTTACAGTATTCATAGGAATACATGGAAAACAGTTTTCAGATATGTTCAGGGCTCTTGGAGATTGCAGCCAATATCATTTACAGGGAATAGTAAAGAAGAAAGCATTTCTTTCTGGTCCTTAAGAGCGTTTTGGGGATTATCAGCTGCAGAAGTAACTCACAGTAGTAGCTATGAGGTTTAAATTGTTACTAGTGGATTAATAGTTGTGGAACATAAAATACAAATGCTTTCAAAATGAGAAGAAGGAATTTGAACCTAAAGAAAAATAAATGTCATTGGATCTCCTTAGTTCATTCCTATTTATGACTGATGTTGTTTGACTTCACTAGGTGGGAAAGTTATGTGCAGACAACCACAGGATAACCAAATACTACTTTCATAGAAAGTAATTTCTCAGACCCTGTTACAAAATATCACATAGCAGTTTTGGCATCCTATAAAGTGGATCCTCATTAAAGTAGCATAATTAAAAAGATTAATTAAAGAGGAAACATAACTACTTGGAGGGGAGTTACAAAAATGACAAAGGCAAACTCCCCTCAGCAGTGGCAGATGGTATAGACATGGAGGCCACAAACTCTTCTGGGAAGTCCAGATTGGACACTAGGATGTGTTTTTAGATTAAGGGTGGAAAAACATTGCAGTAGATGCCCTTGGAGGTTTTCAGGACCTTACTAGACAAGATCACCTATTGTAGTGTTGGTGGTAGCCCCAGTTCAAGTGGCCATTTGGACATAATGATTTACAAAGGTCTCTGCCAGCCACTGTTGCTGTGCTACAGGTTTACAGGCACAGACTGTGCATCTATGAATATCTGTTCACCAGCACAGTCTGGGGGACAACCAGCTGGAAAGCAGCTTTGCAAAAAAGTATCCAAGGGTCGTGGTGGACACCAAGTTGAACATGAGCCAGCAATGTGTCTTTGTGGCAAAGAAGGCCACAGCATCCTGGGTTGTGTTATAAACTGACTTCTTAAAATTGGCTGAGTCAGAGTTCCCAATTTATTTATTTAGCAAGCAGCAACAAGCAAAACAGCGCTGGGCGGCCGGGGAGTCTCCTGCTTCAACAACAGACTGCACCCTCCAGGGCACTCTGTTTCAATCTTATACTACAAAGTATTACATAGTCATTATACACCTGTACATATTCATTACTTGAACGCACCTACTCCCGCTTTGTATGGTAATTAGATTATCAGTCCTTTACCCTTGCGCAGAAGTTGTTAAAACTACAGTCAGGGTTCTTCAAATCGGGGGGGTGTGGGGGGGTGGTCTTCTGGGAGGAAGGCCGTAGGTCCTCCTCACAATGTATGTTTCACCTTTCGCTTCGAATGTGATGATCCTCTGAGTTTGCAGAGTTCTTATCAGTCTAGGCCCAGTAATCTTTTTGCATAATGAGATTCATGGTTGTGAACATCCTCCTGTTTTATTCAGTTATGCACCTGCAATTCTCCACATCTTCTGATGTACAGATGCTTCCTCTCTTGTTCCCCCCTCCCCTTTCCTGTCACTTTTTTTTTTTTACACTATCATGTTAGTGCAATTAAGCATTTGCTGTATTATACAATATGCAATAGTTCATATTACAGTTCACTGAATTTGATGAACAGACGGTTTACCACCTATCACAATCCCCCCTTTTTCTTTTCACCATGTTGTTCATCAAATCTTTTGAGTGCTTGCTGGCTCAGGATGAAAGTTTCCTCCATTTTTGGTGTTCCTCACAGAGGTTCACACTTAGTTCCCATGATCATTAAATGATCTGTTTCTAATGTATTCTTAATGATTGCTACTATCATTGAATATACAAGGACCAAAAGTTAAGATTAAAATTAATAATATGAACGGCCCTGCTCCTGGTACCCCATATGAGGCTATAGTCTCACATCCCCAATACTTACAATAGAATTGGTCAGGATAATTGCAGTAGCTTTTTCCTGGGTTGGAACTGGGGCTAATATAAAATGCTGAATCCTGGGTGCAAGGTGTTACGGGCACCAGTGTACACAGGGGACTTACAAATGATGGTGCCTCTGATGTTATTACAGTCTGTATTTTCTTTTGGTTACCTCTTTAAGTAGTTAGGGTCCATTCAAAAGGTTGATGGGACTGGTGGTTCAGTCCAGCCCATGCTTGTGGTATACGTGTTATGAGTAGTATGCTCAGAATGGATTGAGAAGGGTAGAAACTCCATTTCTTTGTTATCCAGATAGTCCAATAACTCCAATAGAAGGTTGGTAGGATTCTGAAAGTTTTCACAACTTCTATAGAAGGGGGGGGGGGCTTGCTCCTTTAGAGTCAAGGTGCTTTGTACCCCTTTCTGGCCTTTAATTCTTGGGAGACATTTTTCCCTCAGAGTAGGATTTGAAGTTCTTCCCCACTGGTGTACGTATCTGCCTCCTCTGCCTACTCTGTTGAGTAGAGCAGCAGTCATATTCTTCTTGGCAGCAGTCGTATTCTTCAGGGGTATGTTTTTACCTCTACTCCAGGATACATAGGCCTCCCAGTTTTTAGCTTTAAGCTCAAGCCCTTGACAGGGAATTTGAAGTTGGTATTTTGTAGGCCAGTTAGGGTGAGTGTACTTTTTTTTTTTTTTAGGATTTATTCCTTTAATACCTATTTTCCACCAAGTTTTAGAGTTGTGAGGTTTTTTTTTTGTTTGGTTTGTTTTTTTGTTGTTGGATTGTTGTTTTTTTTTTCCAATTGTTTTCCCTGTTATTCCAATTTTAAGACCCAGTTAGTCTCCGTTCCAGTCAGTAACACTGGTTACAGCTAGATCGGAGGTTCACTTCAAATGTATTATAAATCCACCAGCCTTCTTTACATATGTTATACTCTATACACACAAAAGGGAAACAAATACAGGTTTCAACTGGACAAAATATTAATGTCTCACTTATTGAGTCCTTTTGTGGTGTCTTGTACCTTGATTTTCACAGTGTTCGTTTAGGTCTTTCGAAGGGGACTCGTAGATCCCCGGGAGAGCTGGTCACTTGCCAGGACGAATCTCCTATTGGTCCTCTTACATGACTGGTATGTGTCCACCCCTTCTCAGCAGTTCGAATAGCAGTTTCTGTAGTGATAAGAACAACATAGGGTCCTTCCCAACGAAGGGGTCAAGGAAGATTCTTTCCACGATTTAATCAATACTTATCTCCTGGTTGAATTTGATGCATTGTTATGTCCAAAGGAGGCCTTTGTACCACCATTCCCCGGGATTGTAGTTGTTTTCTCCTTGCCATTAGTTGTATTAGGTAGGATATTATTCTTGCGTCTTTAATTTGAGGGTGATCAGGGAGCATTTCCAAATCATAAGGCATTCCATATAACATTTTAAAGGGAGATATTCTGGTATCTGTTTTAGGCTGGGTTCTGATATTTAGTAGGGCCAGAGGTAAACATTTAACCTAGGACATCTTAATTTCCTGTGAGTGTCAGGGTTCTCCTATTCAAAGGCAAAATAATATCTACATTCTGCTTTAAGAGGGCAGGCCCAAAATGCATCGTTTAGGTCGATGACACTATATCATTGATGTTCAGGGTTCAATTGGCTTAATAGCGTTGAGGGTTTGGTACTACTGGAACCTAGTAACAGCTCTTTTGTTTATTTCCCTTAAATCATGCACTAATCTATAACTCCCATCTGCTTTCTTAATGGGCAGTATTGGAGTATTAAAAGGCGACATACAAGGTTCCAATAGTCCCTTATTAAGGAGTCTTTCTATTTCAGGCTTTAAGCCTTTCCTGCCTTCTTGTGGCAAAGGGTACTGTTTGATTCTGATCAGGATCTCTGGGTTCCTAATGGTTACTTCAAAAGGAGGTAATATCCAATCTACCCACTGTCTCTGGGATATACCATATTCTGGGTTAATCTCTTCTTCATCCGCAACTGTAAGGGGGCATAATCTAACTTTGAGTTCTTCTTCTTCCACTTCCAAATTGATTCCTAATTCTATAAGCAGATCCCATCCAAGCAAATTATAATCTGTTTCTGGCATTAATAAAAATGTTCCAATCACATATTTACATATTGATTCAATAATTGTATTATGAAGAATCGGGACTTCCAATGGTTCACCTTTAGCCCCTATTACATTAACTTTTTCTGATGATACCTTACAACCTGGAGGTAAAGCCTGAATGGTAGATCTTTTGGCTCCTGAGTCCACAAGGAACTCAACCTCTTGTCGCTGAGGACCCACTTTAAGTTTTATCAAGGGCTCTTTGTTCTTTGGGGTCCCCAGCACATAGAGCCCCTGACCCCACTAATCTTCAGAGAACATTTTCTCATCTTGGATTCTCTTTCGGCAAACCTTCTACACATGCCTCTTCCTTTTGCAATAAAAACATTCCACTTCCCTTATATTTTTACGCTCCAAGTCGGAGGGATGACTGCCTCCTTTCCAGGAGCGTCTATCCTTTTGTTCTCTGACAGGCCTTCCCATCGCTGCTAAAGCTACTCTCTGTCCCTCTCTCACGGCCATTGCCATGACCTTGTTTGCTCTCCTATTTGTTTTCTCTGGTTCTCCTCCTCTCTTCTAACATAAACTTTCTGAGCTTCTCTCAGTAATTCATCCATTCATCTCTCTTGCTAATCCTCAATCTCTTTTAGCTTCTTCCTAATATCTACCCAGGATTTAGCCACAAACTGAGTTTTAACAAAGCCTGCCCCACAGGGGTGGCAGGATCTACTCCTGAGTATAACTGTAAACTTTTTCTCAATCTTTCAAGCCATTTAGTAGGTGTTTCATCTTTCTTCTGTTGTTCACTAAAAGCTCTATTAATATTCTGCCTTCAGGGACTGATTCTTTTATACCTTGGACTATAATCATCCACAGGTCTTGCATATGGCCTCTATCAATTTCATTCTGATTATTCCAGTTAGGTCAAATTAGAGACCACTTCATATCTGTTGCCGGGCTCTGCTGATGTTGTTGGTCCCAGATTCTCATTCCTGCCCTCCTGATCATGCCTCCTTTTTTCGGCAGTGAATAATATAGCTATTATGGCTTGCATTTAATCCAAGGTATAAATATTTGGTCCTAAAAATTAATCCACCCACTCCACCACACCTAAGGGGTCCTCCCATTGCAACCTCCCTTAGGGGGTAAAAGTTGCTGTTGCCTTGTCCTGCTCTAGTCTGACTCTGGGGTACTCTTCTTTTCTCCCTTGGGGAATTTGCTGGGGAGTCTGAATCTCCTGGGTATTCTGGTGCAGTTGGGGGAAGTGAAGGTTCCCGAGGTGGGCAGGGTGATTTCCTGACTGGGTCTGTCCCACTGCAGCAGGATCAGAGCCACCAGTCAGAACATCATCAATATATTGATATATCTTGACCCTTTCCCTAGGAGGGATTTGAGCAAGCTCCTGCACTAGTGCATAATGAACAATGGTCAGTGGATGGCAGTATCCCTGGGGGAGATATGTAAAAATAAATTGCACACCTTCCCATATAAAGGCAAAGCCATCTCTGTCTGCCTCCTGTATTGCAAT